ATAACAAACAAATCGCGACGGGTAAAGTAGCATTGAGCACACCAGATATTAGTGGCTAAGATTTTTTTTACCAAATTAGGAAGAGATAACAGTTATTAAAAAATTGTGAATATATTGGCTTGACTAAAAGCAACAGTAAATATTGACAGTTAACTTGAATGATATGGATATTGATAGTGAGGGAGTACCTATATTAAAAATCTCTGTTGTGATCGATTGATAAGATACTGAATATGTACATACCCTTGTGGTCAGCTGATTAAATCAAGTGAAATTTTGACTACTTTTGGTTATTTTTCTTTTGTCAATTTAATTTTAATATTTTTTTTATAAAAGTCTAGCACTTTACCTAACCAGCCCCACATAAATCCACATTTCAAACTTCGTACAAAAACTATGAAATTTCTACAAACTTTAACGTTTGCCACCGAAAATTTTAAACTTTTTATTCAGAATTTTTAGAAAAATGTTGGGTATGCAGTTTTGTAGCCAATTAAAGTTTAGTAGGTCAAAGTGCAAATTGTAAGACGCTGCAAAATCGCGTTGATTTTTAATAATTTTTTTAGCTGACGGTGTTGTGCATTTTCTTCCATATAAAATATGCTCGACGATTTCGTTTGTATGGGAGAAAATGGCCAGCACCATCAGGAACATAAAAAATATTACAAATCAACGCGATTTTCTAGCGTCTTGAAATTTGCACTTTGTTGTACGAAGTTTAAAATGTGAATTTATGTGGCGCTGGTTAGTTGAAGTTCTCAACTTTTATAAAAAAAAATATAAACATGAAATAAAAAAGAAAGAAAAATAGCCAAATCTAGTCAAAATTTCACTTGACTTAATCAGCTGACCGCAAGTGTATGTCGTGTATACGTTTGGTCATTAATTTATTTTTCCCTTCTTTACTATCTCACTCAACAACTCACTCAGTTTTCTTAACTCGTTCAAAAGGCGCTCATAGATCGCTGCCTCTTTGGTGAGCATGCCGCATTCTTCAATAAACGCTGTCATCTTTGGATTATGATAAGGCAACGATTTGACAAACACACGTTTTGTTTGAACATCAGTGCCCTGAAAATGCAGTAAAAAGTAACAAAATAAACAATCAGGTCTAAATAGTTTCGTTTTTGTCAATTAGACTAAATGGGGTTATAAAATAATAAAGCTTGATAAATGTATTAACTGACATATGTAGTTGTATGAGGTGGGTTCTGTCGGAGTGGGCAAACAACGAAGGCAATTCATTTGAACCTGATTAACCTCGATCATAAACTTATGAAATAAAGAAACTTGTACGAACTTATTAAATGGCCCTCGCAAATAGTGGTATGGTCGAGTAATTTATGAAGAAATGTTTCAAATTTTTATACAATATTGAAATTAGAAACTTATTCATAAAAAAAAACATTTTACATATTGAACTTGGTAATTTTTTTCTCAAACATTTATTAAGCAATTAACAGCTGATGGAATTTCGTTTTTGAACCGCCCAGATGGGTATAAACTTTAGAAGTGTGCGATAAGGGTCACCGATGTTGAAATTTGAATCATATTTGAACAGATCGCATAATCGAATGTGGGTATTATCTGATTGTAGGTCATTTGGTTACTTTTCTGTAACAAGACTTTAATCACAAGGTTCTATTTGAAAGACTTCTTACTAAGAATTCATAAACCGATGATATCTAACGTGAAATTCCCCACTTAAATTTATTTATACTTATAAATGTAATATTCATGCCATTTTGACACTCTCCTTATCTTAGTTTTACTCGCGTTCGCGTAAATATTTACCTCATCGATGCGATATTGCAGTTGCAAGTGAAAATATTCACCCAAGTAACCGGTTGGGCCGCACTCAGGCACCACTTCGTAGGTCAGCAGTCGACCGGCCGCATTCGAACCCAACATATTGCTGAGAATTTCTTCGACCTCTGCGCGCGAGAAGAGCCCATTCTGCGTTTTAGCTGACTGCAGAGTTGAGGTGGGACTCATTTTCTGGTTTGTGATTATTTTAATTTACTTCAATTAAAATATTTTTATGCAAGTAAGTAAACATTAACGCACATATTTAGTATTTAAGTTTTCTGCAGAAGATAAGAAAATCACTTTCACGATTGCGTCGTCTCACTGCGACAATGGAATAGCAACTAGCTCATAATGTTAGTTTACTCATTACTTATATTATATTCAATTGTAATCACTTGCTAACATGTACCACATATGTATATAAATACATATCGTCGCCTGGGTAAATCATTGTCGTAAGCGTCATACGTACGTGCGTAACATACGACAATCTTTTACCCAGGCGACGATATGTGAATGACAAGTGCGCTCATTCATATGTACGTATGCATGTATGTGAGCTTTAAGCAATGAGATAACGAGCCCTTTGCAACGATTACTCCCAGTAAACTTGCCTCTACTTAATTGTTATTGAGTATTATAATTGGAAGAATGTATCTGATAGGGGAAAATCAGCTAGTGCGAGGGTAGCTTAGAAAAAAATTAGGTGCGGTTGTAAAAAAAATTGTATGTGCGACTAGTAAGAAAAATATTTTACACTCATCGACGATATGTTTTTGAAGCAAGCCTTTTAAATTTAAATCAGACCATAAATAAGAGGCTTCCAAATATCTCAACAAATCGCCACCTACCAGAAAAGTTTATTTGTGGAGTTATAACTTTTCATTTGGGTAATATATGTGTATTCTAAATATAAACTAAATCAGGCCGTTTTATGAAATATATCGGCCCCCGCGTCGAGATATATGAACCAAATGGGACTGCATTTTCATCCAGCTATGAGCTTGGTTTCAAGGTCGCCGGGAAAATTGCCAAAAATTTATGGCAAAATCTGACCTACAAAACATACTCACAAACATGCATACACACATACAAAGCATGTTAAATAAAAGCTTTTAAAGAAAGTCCACTACCAGACGATGCTTTGAAAACTTCGCTTATTAGCTTATTAGCTTATTTATACCAAAGTGTTTGAAAAATTAATGTTCCACCAGGTTTATGTATAGAAAGTCATGCGTATATTTGCAAATATTAAATTGTGTCAAATCTTTGGTCATAAGCTACAAAAAAAAAATCAGCCTTAAATTCTATTTTGCATTTTGAGCAATTAGGAATTCCAACATTTCTTGAATACACTCTTCTAAATACTCCCGAAACTGAGGTAGTCTTCCCATCAGCTTAAACACCGCTTCGGTACGTTCCACATGGACATAATCATTGGTCACATACTGCCGGGGAACTTTCACGATGGTTGTGGCAATTGCTCTATAGAACAAACCGAACAGCTGGAGTTCCTCATACGAAGCATGCAAATCAGAGTAAGTAAGATGATCCGCTGCTACCAAACCATTCGAACTCAAATCCCGCTCCAGACAATCATAATAGTACCGCAGGTATTCCTTTTCTTTCGACTTTCTTGTGGACTTATCAAGATTCATGAAAAGAGCGAAGATTACATCGATAGCTGGCGGACAGTAGCGTGCAGTCTGATAGTCCACAAATATGACAGAACGCTCGTTTGCGTTTGTATCCGTCGAAGTAGCAACGCTGCTGTAAAATATATTCCCACGCCAAATATCGCGATGACAAAGCACATTCCGGTACTTGGATGAGCGATTTGTCATTTCGTAGACGCTTTCGGCAGCCGAAGCAAGGCGACTTTCAATTTCTGTACGTACGTCGATTGATTGCGACACCAATTGCGACTTCGCGACGGCAAGTATGGCACGCAAACCAGTGGTGTACCAAGGCACCTGCGCCGATACGGTGATCTCCTCTTGCAATTGAGGATAGGCGTCACCGATGCACATGCCCTCTTTGGTTTCGAGTGTGAAACAGGATGCATGCTGAGCTGCCAGGCCGCGTAGCACCGAGCGCATGTAGTGTTCGCTGAGAACGTTCACGGTTTCTGAGCAGAGAGCGTAGTTGCGTTCATCCAACTGCTCGAGCACAATGATGTCATCGCGGGTATAGAAGCAGTGCGGCGACCAGGCAACAGTGGCTAAAAAAAAAAATAAGGAGAATTAAAATAATACTATTGCGATAAAGCGACGATAACCACCATATTGATAGCAATATTGGCCTATATCACGATAACAAACATAAAACAACCAGGTATCAATATTGATATTGGTTACGAGAACGAAATTGGTATCGATAACAATATTGACAAATCAATTGATAAAAATCGATAAACATTATATACAAATATCGATAAAAATGGTAAGGCCAACCCGATGGCAACCCTGATAAATACTTATATTGGCATTGTTAAAAAAGAAAAAATCACAAAAACGAGTGGCATGCCTGCCTAAAATGTATCGCAGAGCAATTTGAAAATGTCTTGGGACTTTTCGAGCAAATTCGTAAACATTCAGTAGTTTTCAGGATCCTTCGGGATTTATCGGAACCTTTCTTTATTATTTTTTGCCCCTATGGAAATTTTCGTTCATTTAATTTTTAAGATCTTTGGGAATTTTTGTAATAGTTTGCTTTTATCTTTCTGAACTGTTTTTTTTAGGATTTTCAGAGATTTTATCAGGAATTTTCGGAGCTCAAACAACGAAAAACTATAACAAAAATCAGAAGTTAACTACAATTGAAAGCAAGGCTTAAGATGGAGACCTTCATCTCGAAGCAGAAG